GGAGCCTGCTTCTCCCTCTCCTTCTCCCGCTGCCCCTCCCCCTCACTCATGCTGTCTCTCTCTCTCTCAAAATAAATAAATGAAATCTTTTAAAATAAATAAATAAAATTGGAAACAAAAGTGTCCAATAGTCTGTCAACCCACATATTTCAACTGTAATAGAGAAATTGGTAGAACATCACATATGGAAAACAAACACTGGAAGGAAATGCAAAAATGTGGTATGTCTTTATAAAGGACTTATAGGAGTAATCTTTTTTCTTCTGCTTAATCTTTGTGTTGAGTCCATATAGTCTATATGACATGTAAATTAATTTCCCAGCCAGAGAAAGATAAAATAAACTCCATTTGAAAACTTTTAAAGAGGAGCCCTGCCCAGCTTCCCAACATGCCCTTCCTGGCCTCACTTGTGTAGATAGTTGCCAACGCCATCAATGGGGAGAAAGAGTTACAGTTCAATACCGTTAAAAAAGTAAGAAGAACAAAACACAGGGAAGAACAGCCCATTGCAAAAGGGAACGTGAAGAAGGTATGAGAACATAATTTGCACCAGAACAAAGTATGGACGCTGTCAGATTCTTGACTGGGCGCAGGAGACCAGTCTAGGTGACACCCCCACCCACCCCCACCGCTCTCCTATTGCTCCACCCACCTCCCTCTACACTCAGGCCACTGTGGGAACTGCTGCCCAAAGGTGCACAGCAAAGAGAGAGAGAAACCATGGGAAGAAGCCACCTCCACCCATCAGGGTGACCTGGAACTCTGGTCTCCAGAATAGGATCCTTAGTCCACGTCTGGCAGTTGGCTCCCGAATGTTATGGGCTTTGAAGAGACTTGCCGTATAAGTCATGAGCCAGAAAAGGCCTAAATCAAATGTGTGTTCACTGATCCCATCCGGGCAGCTAAGTGCTGTCTCCTACAAAATGTGATGCCTGGAAGCCATGGCTGCTATTGTAATGCGTGATGATAAAGATCAAGCTTTCATTTTCCTGGAGCTTCAGTGAGTGCTGGTAAATTATTTATCCCAGTTGGGTTACATGATTTCATTTCAGCGTGTCAGTGTTTATCCTGGAGGCCCATTCTAATTGTACAGTTTGGGGGCATTTTCCTATTTTCTCCTTGGGGCATCTTGTAGCACCCTTTCTCTACCTCCAATTACAACTGTTGCTGTGCTGATTTAGTGTTGTCTTTGCTACCGGGTACTATTCTGCAAGATGAATGAATTTCGTTCCATCTTTAAATATTTATGTTTCTTCATGACCTAATATATCATCGTGGTTATGGGTAATTTTTTTCCCTAACTGCAGAAAATACACCATCAGTTACCTGTCGATTTTGTTTAATAACTCAGCTTTGCAGTTCTGGGACAGTGTTCATCTGAGGCTCTAGAGGGCTCTTTTAGTCTCCGAGTCCACTTCAGAGTGTCATTCTGGGATTTATAAAGGTCTTCATTGCACAGAGGATATTGAAACGTTAAGGACTTAAGTGGCTCACCCTTTATCACTTACCACACTGGAGGATCCAGGACGAGAAATCCAGGCATCTTTGTTTTGTTGTTTGCTCCCAGCATGGAACAGTGGTCTCTGTAGAAAACCATCCAGTATCCCTGGAAACAATTCATCAGATTTTTCAAAAGAAATCCAATTTCATCTGGTTAGATGGGCTCGATGTTACTTCTTAAGATAAATGATGAAAATACCAACATCATAATACAAAGAAACCCAATTCTTTTGGTTTAATCTCAGTGAAAAGCATAACCATCCACTTACTGCTTCTGTCTCTTTCCCTAATGGTTTTAGGTCCTTGGCTCAAGGAGATGGGGATGGTTCTGTAACTCTTCCCACACCAGAGAGACTCTGGGTCAGAGACCCAGGTGGTTCGGGACCTTTGGGAATCACAGTAGCTGGGGTGGGTCCTGAGGAATCTGCACTTTTCATAAGCCCCCCAAGCACTTTCTAGCTGGAGAACCACCAGCCGAGAACTGCAGCCATCATGTCCCTTCTAGCTTTGAAAGAATCATGAGCCCCCCAATTCTCTCTCATTACATTAGTTAAGTCTAGATTTGAACATGTACTCTTTTCGAGCGAGTTTTAAAAGGTCTTCTTAGGTAGTTCCCTAAATGGGCAGCTCTCTCCCTCACCTGTGCATCCGAGGGAAACCAAATTAGATGATGCAGGGGGCCCCATTTCTCAAAACAGGGGCTGGTATCAGGGAGGGAGCCAAGGTGTGCCAAGGGACACGTGAAGCCATCAGATAAATATGATGCATCTTCCTACAGCATCAGGTTTTTCTTAAAATTTGTATTTTTAAGTTACAACAGATGTATTGTGGAGTAAGGATAGTTCACATGGGTTTTATGCTGAACATGAAGCTTCAGAAAAGTTCCTGACCGTATCTGCTACTGGGCTCCCAGAAGTCTGCAGGCTGGAGGCTAATTTGCCTCTTCTATTAGAAGTACCTCTGTCAACATCAAGGTTACCTTTGACCAGTGATTTCTAAATATGTGGTTCCAGGAAGTTAAAGTGAACACTCACTTACAGAAAACTAGCCCCAAGAGGACCCTCTACACAAGGATGTTGACCCTTTTTGCTGCCTGGAGTCACTCATAAACTTGCCAATATAAGATGAGCACTCATTATTCCTGCCACTATTTAGGAAATATTTGTGAAAGCGTATTCTTTTTTTTTTTTTTTAAGAATACGTTATTTAGAAAAGGAGGTTTAGCAGAGCAGGAAAAGGAACTAGCCATGTGAAAAGACACTAATGCCCTTACTGACCATATTCCCATTGTAACAACAATTTATAAAATATTCCTGAAATTATGAGCTCCCAGAATATATTCCTTACTACAAGGATAGCTTACTTCTCACAGAGGATGTTCTTTTTATCAAGATGTTCCTGACAAACAAGAAACAAATGCAAGACCCAAGTCCAATGATCCTGGTAGGTCCGATTTATCCCTTCGTCTCTGGAGTTGCCTTGGGCCTTCTGCCTTGGTCTGCCCCTGCATTGAGGCAGAGCTGCCTTTCCTGTCAGGGAGAGAGAAGGAAGTAAACTGTGCCTGGGAAGGCTTCTCTGTTCTTTGCCTAACCAGCTGTCATAGCATCGCTTGGCCCAGAGCCTGTACTCAACTTTACCTCCTGCGTAATTTGTAGTAAACGTGCAAGTCTGAGCCTCAGTGCAGACTCCGTGAGGGATAGTGGTGGCATGATGTTGGTTTTAAGAAGGGTAAATGGCTGCCTTCTCCTTTCCTGACTCCTACCTCCCCCATCTTCTCTCTGCATTGGAGACTCACTGTAATGCCTGTTTCTCTTACGGGTACTACTCTTCTCTCCTCCACCCAGGAAAATGGCCTTGCAGCCAAATGGATCTCAAGTCTGCAACTTTCTGCGAGAATTATGGCTAATCCCCTGCCCCCCCAGACCATTCTGTGTACCACTGTCACCTTAATTTTCCAGAAGCACAACTTGGATGGTGCTTCTGTTCTCAACAGAACCTTGGGGGGTAAGGGAGTGAGGTCCTTTACTGACTTGACTAAGTCTAATGTTCTTTATTAATTTAACTAGCCTGATGTCAAACAGTCTGCCTTCTGGCTTCAACTGCCTTTTCCCACAACTTTGCTGTCCACCTACACTCCCCAGGCTAACCAGATTCCTCTTCCCAGGAGGAGTCTTTGCTTCTGCTCTTCTCTCTTCCCTTAATCTAGAATTTCCTCCCTGGGAGCCCTGCCTGACAATATTGTACCCCATATGAGGTCTTCCTTGATTCTTCACCTTCCCCTCAGCATGGTGGGATTTCTCCTTCCTCTGCTATAATTTTATAACATTTATACTTCCTTCATGTCACATGGACCATTATTCTTGTCTGTATCTGTAAAGAAGGAGAGTGAGAAACTTGGGTGCATATCCTGCCACAGCCCCTCACTTCTTTGGGATGCTAAACAAGTCCTGTAACTTGGCCATGCTTCAGTTTCCTTATCTGAAAAAAGTGACTAATAGCTCCCTAGGTGTAGTGAGGGTTAAATGACGCAGTACATGAAAATGAACTTCGTCAACAGAAGTGCAATCATTATTTCCCTACTTTTCATGATCTTTCCAATTTATCTCTGAGCTATTTGAGGAGAGAGGCCCTGTCTTGCTCATCATTATAGTAATGTAATGATAGTAACTTACGTTACTATCATTACATTCCTGTTAATTATTACTATTTCACGTAATAATAGCTAATATTTATGGAGCATGGATGTTTGTCGGGCGCCATTCCAAGTGCTTTATATGGATGAATTCTTCCAATAACCCTAAGAGGTAGGTACTATTATTATCCCACCTTATGGAGGAGAAAACCATACATTTCACAGAGCCTCCAGCGAATAAATAAATGAATGAGGGATTGAATAAGACAAAAACAGCTTTCGCAGTGCCTGCCAGATGATTATTTCTCTCCTTCTGGTTCTGCCCCTACTTCTTTTTCTTTGGATCTTCCTAGGTGAATATAACATTAGGGCAAATCTTAAGTGAACGGAGACCCTGAAAGATGTGAGTTCTCCCGGAACCTTCATTTAGACTTATTCTTTTTTTTTTTTTTTAAGATTTTATTTTATTTATTTGACAGAGAGAGAGAGAGAGAGACAGCTAGAGAGGGAACACAAGCAGGGGGAGTGGGAGAGGGAGAGGCAGGCTTCCTGCTGGTCAGGGAGCCCGATGCGGGGCTCGATCCCAGGACCCTGGGATCATGACCCGAGCCGAAGGCAGACGCTTAACGACTGAGCCACCCAGGCGCCCCTAGACTTATTCTCACGAAGAAAGCTCCACTGATCTCCAAGAGGACAGAGATCGTGTTTGTCTTGTTCTCCATTATATTCATAGGACCTAGAACAATGTCTAGTGATCGACAAATGCTTATGGAATAAGTAATCTATAAACAGCATATTCATCGCCACTGAAACCACATAAATGGCTGACAATGGAGATGGTGAACAGTGTCCCCTGTTTCTTCCTCAGGCAATATTACGAGATGTTATACAACACGGCTGACGAGCTCCTGAACCTGGTGGTGGACCAGGGCGTGAAGTACACGGAGCTAGAGTACATCCACGCCCTGACCTTGCTACACCGCAGCCAGACTGGGGTGGGAGACCAGACCACCCAGAACATGAGGCTGCAGCGGCTCAAGGAGATCATTTGCGAGCAGGCTGCCATCAAGCAAGCCACCAAGGATAAGAAAATAACGACGGTTTAATCGAGCACACTGCTGGGCGGGGGGGGGGGGGGGGGGGGGGGGGGGGGGGGGGCGCTATTTTCGTTTACTCAGTCACACTTGCTTCTTTCTCCGGTATGTTATTTGGTATATTCGAAGCAGACTTGCTTTTCTCTGCACTGATACTTTAGTGGAGAGAAGACAAGACGATACATTTTTTTCCTGTCTCTTTACTTTGGGCTTTTCATATAAACTGTAACGGGAGTTTGCAGTACAGAATGTTTTGATTTAACGTCTACTCTAATGCAGTCAGTTCCAAAGGGTTGAGTGACTAGGGTGGGATGGGAGGAAGGTTGTATCAAATTGGACTCTGAAAAAATGAATGCACAAATTACCACTCCCCAACCATCTTTAGAAAGCAGACTGCTCCCTCGGTTTCAGTCCCTTCTTAAAACACTTCATAGGGTTCTCTTACACCAAGAGCAGGTCTTTACTCTCCTGACCCTGTCAGTTTACAATACAGTGAAATAAGCATATGTGCATTGCTTTTTATCTCTGTTGCCAACATCAAATCAGTGGCTTCTCAGCTGGCTGTAACTTTCAGCAAGTTTTCCCAACCAAAACAGGACCTCTTCAGGGCTACGGGGCAAAGTCCTCTTATCCCAGCCCCTGGGCGAGTTTTGTGTGCGGGCGTTTGTACACAGAATATAGTCAGTGTATTGCCTTTTCGTCTTTACTTCTGCATCAAAACCAAGAGCCTTCCGATTAATCACAAAAATGGAAGAATGAAAGGCAGTCCACCCTCCTCTTGATCTTTTAACCTCTATTTTCCAAGAGTACATAACGGGTAGAGAACTTTTACTCTCAGTTAAACATTGTTTGGATGTGAGTGATTCTTAGATGCTTACTTGCTCTCGATGTGAGCCCCTAGGTCTTTCTCACCTTAGAAAGATGCCCTGGTCCACTCAGCTGAGTGCACGGAAGATGGGACAGCGTGACATTCGACCTCTGTGCACCCACCAGCGGAGGCCATTTCTAAAGTGTTCCCAGGTGGTTTGGGTGCTCACCTCTCCTGGCACACTGAACCCCGCCATTGCCCCCCAAGTCTCCAAGCATTCCTGCTACCCATGGTTGATATGTCACAGGAGAAAGCAAGGCACTGACTGGGACACACCTTGGAAACATGTGGAGAGGAGAGCAGAAAGGATTTTAAGCATACACGGCAGCTGGGCCTCACATTGTGATGATCCAAAATTGTATACCCGTTTGTACAGCTTTGGTCTTGGTGGGAAAAACAGAAAATTAAAAAATGTTTTGAGAAGCTGAAATGTGTGTTGTTTTTCTTGTGTTCCTTACTCAGCAAACATTCCCTGAGGGCCTAATGTGTGCTAAATGCTGCTGAGCATAGGGGCAGATACTAGACAATGAGGGAGGGCACTCGTTATCTACCTTTAAGACAGAGTATGGGCACTGGATTCTAACCAAACCCTAATGGATGTGCACTCAGAGCTGAGTTAGAAATCAGGACCGACAGTGGGAATTCAGCAGGCAGCCGAAAGATGGTCTTCCAGAGGGTTCTAGAAGGAATACTGTAAATCTGTGTGCTTCAGAGGCCTGGTTGGAAAGAAGTTGAATCCATGTAGGAGAAAACCGTGGAAACAACAACATCGTAGGAAAGTAGTCTACCCAAGAAGTGGGGGTGGGAGAAGGGAGATGAGGGAACTTCAAGCCGACCCCTTTGGTTTGGAGGCCTCCTCTTAGTGGCCGCAGCTTCCCAGCATAGCTTTGGTACCTTTTCTCCTTCCTTCCACTCTAGGTATAAAACCCTGGGTGGTTACAAGGCTACCAAAAGAGCTAGGGGTGGATTGGTGAATGCTTAAGATAGTTTTATTGGATGTGGAAAGGTTTGGCGTAGAATGCCAAGAACACTGAGAACCAGAAGGAAAATGGCAGATGGTCTGCTGCAGGGGAGCATTTAGGAAAGTAGAATCCCTGCTTTGCTACAATAATGATAGGATTGAAAAATGTCAGTTCTGCACCAAAAAAGTGATGTATGCCTCTCTGTCCAAGACATTCAAGGCACAGATTTCTTTGTAGGATGGCACATCACTCATTTTTTAACAGGTCAAGGACAGCCAGTGTCCTATTCAGTGGATGGTCAAATGGGTGCAGATGGAAGGACTCCATTCATAGAAGCCCAGCCCCTCTCCGGGACCTCATTCTTGCCTGAATGTTTTCTCAGCCTGACCATCATTAATTTATGTTTCAAATAGCTTGGGGAAAAACTGTCAAATACAGCCAAGTTGAATTGGCAACCAAACCCAATGATCTTCCTGTCAAGTCCTATCCATGGATGTCTTAGCGCTGCTGCATTCATTCGGTCAAGAAGATGTAATTCCCCGTTACAATGATAGGGGATTCATGTAGTGGCAAGCAAGAGAAGCAGTCCCTTAGGACATGGAGCTTATACTTCCAGTCTGACAAAGAGTTACCCACCTTCCACCCCGATCTTACCCTCCCCAGAGGTTTTTTGTTTTTTCAAAATTTTATTTATCTGACAGAGACACAGCGAGAGAGGGAACACAAGCATGCTTGTGGGAGTGAGAGAGGGAGAAGCAGGCCTCCTGCGGAGCATGGAGCCCAGTGTGGGGCTCGATCCCAGGACCCTGGAACCATGACCTGAGCCGAAGGCAGACGCTTAACGACTGAGCCACCCAGGCGCCCCCCCAGAGTTTTTATTTACCATTCAATCCACCAAAACCACCCTTTCATTTAGAAAGACATCTCCTGGGATTGAGGACTAACGTCTTCAGCCTGACGCTCTGCTGCTTGCTTCTGAGCTTTGCCTTTCTGGAAGCTCGGGACTATATCTCACTGTTCACTGGGCCCTCCCTGGCTAGCCAGAGCCTGAAAGTTCCCCCTTTACCATGCGTGGATGGAACAAATGGATTCCTGCCTCCTGGGTTCCATGAACAGCCTGAGGCCATTGCGTTTCAGATTCTCACGCAGGAGCACAGCTGTGGCTGCCTCCCAGCACCGGGACACAGAAATTTCACAGTAAAAAACAGAGGCTATCAGGCTTCAACAAGCCCTAGCAGGTCTCCACGCCACTGGAGGCAAAATGTGATGAGAAGCCCAGCCAAGAGGCTGTCCTTGGAGCGGGAGGTGATAGGAAAACAAGGAGTGTCCCCATCAACCAGACTGTGCTTGAAGAAGCAGAGTGTGTGTGGAAATCCACACACCTGAGAGCAATTGTCTTAATGGGGCAGGGACATAAAGCAAATTGGGCCTAATTTGGAGGGAGGGTAATGAGGTACCGAGAAGAAGAAAACAAAGAAAGACTTGGCTCAGCAAAGGTCTCAGCTCTGTCCTAATTAGGCCTGGTTGTTATAAGAAGTGCATAATTAATAAGCGTGTGACCAGATGTGAAATACAGCAGAGCCTTTTCCTGAAATGGAAGTTGTAATGAAGTGCACGCAGCTGGAAGGAGTGGTCCTAATTTGGCTGAGGCGGGCAGCCTGCCTGGCATTTTGAAGAGGTGTAGTAAGCGGCCCACCACGGGTTTACACCTGAAAACAAGTAATCCTTTTCCAACAGGGCTGGGCTGTAATGAGATATAGCTAATTATCACGAGTGCAATGAGATGCAAAAGCCACTGGAATTGAGCTGGAAATCTCTTTAAAAGGGAACTCAGAGGCAAACACGAGAGAAGACTCTGCTAATGGGATGAGGTGTGAGTCTGAGGAAGGGTGCCTGGTTTGAGGGGTTGCTTCGACATCCCTGCCAAAGACTCGTGTCTGTAATTAAAGATATTGCTGGGACATTCACACACCTGGAGCGGGAGTCCCTGGGAGTCTGGGAATGCAGGGACCTGTAAAAGCTGCACATGTATTCTTTTAAATGTATATACAGCTTATGTGTGTGTCCACACACACACACAAAAAAGATGAGGTTAGGAGCTGTCGGGTAAGTGTAGCTCCCATTATATTCCATTTTTATTTATTTATTTGACAGAGAGAGACACAGCGAGAGAGGGAACACAAGCAGGGGGAGTGGGAGAGGGAGAAGCAGGCTTTCCGTGGAGCAGGGAGCCCGATGCGGGGCTCGATCCCAGGACCTGGAATCATGACCTGAGCCGAAGGCAGACGCTTAACGACTGAGCCACCCAGGCGCCCCTATTCCATCCCTTTTAGAAATGTGGCCTCAGATTCCTGCTGACTTACACAATACTTTGCATAAGAGGAGAAAAACTGGCCATCTCTTCATCGCAAATGTACTTGCCTACCAGGCTGAGCTTTCTTTCACAAGTGTATTTACTGCAAGCGATCAGGAAAAGAGCACCTGGTTTTTGCTATTATTTTTATGATTGCTCTTAGGTTATTGTAGACATCACTTACTGAGCACTTACTATGTGTCAGATGCTGTGCTAAATGCTTTACCACATTATCCCAGTGAATCCTCAAAAAATCCTATGAGACTGTTACCTTTATCGTCCCTACTTTGCAGAAGAAACCAAGGTTCACATTAAGATGTGGCCCAGACAATACCAACGCCAGAGTTCAGGCTTGGCACCCCTCTCTTCTCATCCCTTGGGCAAAGGAGAGACCCTCACGTGCTATATTTGAGCTCCAAGTGACGTTCTCCCCAGAGGGAGCCACTCCTAGACTGAATGAATTTAAGGCTGCCTTTCCCACTCTTCCTCTGCTGCTCCTCAGCTCCCTATGGCCAATGTATCTACAAAATCCGTGAACACAAGAACCTTCGGCCCAGGGGCTGGACCCAGCCAGCTGGAGGCTGACGACCCATAGCTGGACCAAAGGCTGGAGCACTGGGGGGCGGGGACTAAATGCTCAGGTTTTAGAATCCTCTGTACCTTGGGTGGGGGGATGGGGTAACTGGGGGATGGGCATTAAGGAGGGCACTTGACGTAGTGAGCACTGGGTGTTCTATGCAACTGATGAATCACTAAACTCTACCCCTGAAACTAATAATACACAATATGTTAACTTGAATTTAATAAAATCTTGGGGGAAAAAAAAGAATCCTCTGTACCTTGGCTCAGGATGTCACCTCAGCCTTATAGAAGTGGTTTGCTGTTGTATAAACTATGAAATGCCCTAAGCTTCAGTTTCCTCATCTGTGAAATGGGATAATAATAATAACAACAATAATAATAATAGCTCCTATCCCACAGTTGCTGTATAGAGTAAACAAGGTGTTCAGCACCTGCCATATAATAAATATGACATCTGCATCATATCTAATAATGTTTTGTCTGTTTCTTTGAGGAGCTGTTGACCCAGTATCTAGAAAACCTGCTCTGTGGATGTGGCGTAGGAGCGCAACCACCTTGACAGGGCTCCTTGTCAGAAAGCCCTGGGATCTGCCTGGCGGGGCCCCGGATGCTGCTGCTTGTGCTTGAATCCTGAAGAGCCACCAGACCACAGCAGTTCAAACTCTGTCACTGCATTGTTTGAGCCCCGTCTCCAGCACAGGACAGCTGCCCTCCCGGGTCTGCTTCCCTTTTAGCTGGTAATGAGTTGGCATCTCATTGCCTGCCCATGTATCACGCGCATCTCATTAAACTATGAAGGCTCCAGGACCCGTTAGGGACCAGGCCTTAACAGACAGAACGGCCTTCTGCCCAGGGTTTGAGTTTGCTGTTACTCTTCCAGCCTAGGCTGAGCAATGTCAGATCAGGGATCTCTAAAAGAAGTTCATAAATTGATCTAAGGAAGTGAAGTGGAAAAAATGTCTTTTTTTTTCCCTCTAAATCAAATCTGGCTCCGAGCTCCCACTTACTATTCTCAGCAAACGCCTCAACTGCAGTAATTTTTTGTGGTTTCCTGGTAGGGAGGTAGGGAAGAGGCTTCCCTTCCTTTGGGTTGTGTCAATGTTCCGCTGTTATAAAGCACGGCGGGAAAATGGCGGTGAAGACAGAATCATCCTCTGTTTCCTCATCACTTCACCACCCCTGCTCCGGATGCCCTCTGCTGCTCCAGATGTGGGAGTCCTGTCTCGTGTCCCCAGGCGTCATCCAGAGGGGGCCTCCTGCCACAGGGTCCAGCCTCCACAGGCATGCCCTACAGTCACCCCCACCCAAGGTCCTGCCTTGCTGGGGGCACTGTGAGCTAGGCGCAGGCCGGGGCTGCCGATCTGTTCCCAGCTTTGGGGACCGACACTCCAGGTGGGTCAGTTCTCCCCTCTTTGCTCCAAATGCCAAAGTGTGTTTTCTTTTCCACCACAGGGAGGTCCTAGATCTTTCGAGACAGTAGCCTGCTTAAGGGAGTTTCCCAAATGACTCTCTCCTGTCCCCTCCCTTTCTTCT